CCCCCGCGACGTCCCCGCCCCGCTGGCCCCCAGGCGTCCTGCCATTGGCCGAGGCGCCCTCACGTGCCCTCTAACGCTCTTCCCCGCAGCCCCGCCCCTGCACGCGGCACCGGTCCCACCCCCTCTTCCCCTGAAGCGTTCCGGCTCCCGGGGATCTCCTCGGCGGCGGCGGCGGCGAAGGGCCGGTCGGGTGAGCCGAGCCCAGTCTGGGAGGGGGCGTGGGGCTGCATCGGCGGCGACTGGCCGGCACACGCGGCGCAGGTGCAGGACGGAGAGAGCAGGGGACAAGTCCGGCGTGGAAAAGCCACGTTTGAAACGGATGGCAACAACTTCTGCAGCCGGCGGGACGTGGCCTGGCGTGAACGGCAACCTCTCGGCCTCGCCTCCTCGCCGCCCCCGCGGCGCTCCCCAGGCTCTAAGGCGCCAGCGCGTGGGAGCGCAGGGCCGGCCGAGGAGGCCCGGGGCCGCGCGAGCGGCAGTTTCGCTGGGCCCCACTGGGCCCCGCCCCAGGTCCCAGGCCCCGCCCCCGAGGTCCTCCCTCCTCTTCCCGTGTCGGCCCCGCCCCACTGGTCAGGCTTCAGCTGCGCCAATGGGATTTTATTTTATTCTTCAATTTGGCCCGATCTGAAAACCACGTGAGGAAACCTCTGCATTGTGACCAGGCGGTCACGTGATTTGTCTCAGCTCGCTAACAGCTCTGGGGAGATGAGTTTTGCGAAGGAAGAAGGTTAGCTTGTTAACATACTACTTCCGCAGCCTGTCTGGTGGCAAAAACCAATGGAGGGCACTAATGACAGGCACGGAGCCTGCAGAAAAGCGTTTAGGTAATAAGCCTCCGGGAGTGAACGGATCCACGCGTGAGAAGCGTTGCCTCCCACGTCATGATGGAGGGGCTGGATCTTAACCCGGTGCTTAGACACATGGCGTTTTCTTACGCCCCGGTTTTCGCTCTTGAAAGTTGCTAGGCAAAGCGTTTTCGGTTATTCTGCTCTGCGATGAGAAAGCTAAAAGAAGAGGAAGAAAAAAAAAAAAAAGATCTAAAGTGAGGAGTGTCGTGGGAGGTCCTGAAAGTTAAGTTCTGCCTGCAGGTGTCTGAATGTACGCCTTCGCCTTCAGACGAATATAGCTGCAGGTAAACGGCACAGCCTTAAACGGCTGGTGGTGCAGAAGAAACGGTTCTGAGTGGGTCAGTAGTTTATCCAAACAAATAGTTAAAGAACATGGGGGAGGGGGTAGAACAATGCCACTCGTTAATTTAATAACGTTTCATTAAAAAATTTTTATGTTTATTTTATTTTTGAAAGAGACGGAACATGAGCGGGGGAAGGGCAGAGAGAGAGGGAGACACAGAATCCGCAGCAGGCTCCAGGCTCGGAGCTGTCAGCACAGGGCCGGATGTGGGGCTGGAACCCACAAACAGTTCATGACCTGAGCCCAAGTCGGGCGCTTAACCAACTGAGCCATCAAGGCGCCCCAACGTTTCATTTTTAAAAATAAACATGCTATCAATTTAACAAACCCAGTATATACCCATGTCTAACAGGAGTAGTTCTAAAACTATTAGTTTGTGACCATGGAGCTCTAAGGGAGCTGAGGGACTTTTCCAAGACAAGTCTGTGCCGCTGATATCCTTGTATCATAGCCCCTGGTGCAGTGTTGCCCATCATTCATTCACTCAAGGGATGTTTGACGCCCACTGTGTGCAAAGCACAGGGCAAAGGATTGCGCTGTGAACAAGGCACTACCCTTGCCCCCCACTCCACGTCCTTGAGGCAGAAATGGAAGAAAGCCAGCAGTCAGAAGGATGTGGCACTCAGCAAGTCTACGGGGACTGGGGCGCGAGAGTCTGGCTCAGAAGCACCCAAGAGCCCTTCACCAGAGTATTTTGTTATGGCGAGAGATGAGAATGAAGGAAAGAGTCTCCCGATTCAGACTCTGGTAAGCCTTGCCAAGGAGCTGGACTTCTCTTTGAATGGGATTTGGGGTCCCCGGAGGATGTTAAACTGGGGAGTGACAGACTCAACATGTGCACCCAGAAGACCTCTCTGGCAGGAATGTTGGGCGTAAAGGGTAAAGGTAGGAGGTCAGAGAGCAACTGGGATCTGGGGTCCAAGGTGTGTGCTGGTGAGGCGTCTCCATGGCAAGAACAGGAGGAAGGATCACAAATACCCCGGAGGTAGACTTGCACAGGCAGGAGACAGCCACAGTAAGGCTCACGCCCACGTTTGTAGCTTGGACGACACGGTGGCAAGAAAGGGACACAAGCAGAGAAGCGGTTTTCCAGGGAACACGATTGCAGTCGTGGGGCCCACTGAGTTTGAGCTGTGTCTGCAACACGCTGATAGAGGTGTCTTCGCTGGCATGGAAATCCAGACCTGACATTCAGGATAGAGTGTCAACGTATTTCAGGTTAGGTATTCATCAGGTCAATTTGAGTTTGAGGGACACCCGGGAGGCTGCCTAGTGACCTTGAAATCACAGTCACCAGAGTCACTGGGATCAGCACCGTTGCCTGACCCACGTGTTCCTCCCTGGCCATTGAACTGGGTTTCCTTTGCCCCCACTAGGGGGCCATCCCACAACCAATGTCAGCCAGCAGTTAGTTTATGGGACAGTCACAGGGGACGTTAGGTATGGCACAGTGTCCTGGCTGCTGTGGCATTTACAGAAACACTAGAGATAGATGTAGCCCCTCTCAAAAAAAAAAAAAAAAAGGGATTCAAAAGCCGCTATCAATGAGATACAGAGATTGTGTACACCTTCATCTTCGTGTGTGCGCGCGTGTGTGTGTGCACGTGTGCCTGGGGTTACCTCTTCTGAGTGCCCCCATCTTCTATGTTCATCAGGGCGCTGCCCATATCACAGAAAAACCTCTCTTCTTCAGACCCAGACCCTTCTGGACACGTTTCTGCGATGGCCTTTAGTAACCTAGAAATGCTTTTCCCACGTCTGCCTTCCCCGGAGGATGGATTGCTTCAGTTAGGCCCTTGAGGTCTCTGGAGGAGCAGAGAGGGCCCCGGAGGATCTAGTTTTCCGGCTGCCCTGCCGCCACCAGCCATCCACCCGCAGAGAGGCCTGCTGCTTCACTCTGGAGAGCAGAAGGGGTGCGTAAAAGCAGGGCAGAGAGAAGGCCCTTGGTTCAGAGTCAGAGCTGCCCCTTCATACCTCCACTTTTAGAAGCTCTTATCTTCAGGGATGCCTATGACACAGTGGCCCTGCCCTCACGTTCTCCTCTGATGCCAGTCCCAACCCGGCCGTGTCTGCCACGCTGCAGTTTTGATCTCCTCGACCCAGAAAGCCCCTTCTCTTGGCTCGCTGGACACCAGCCCCGGCGGCTTCGGTCCTGCCCCGCTGGGCTGTCTGAGCACCGAGGTGGTCACGTACGTTTGAATTTTCGGCTGAGCCTCCCTAGGCAGCAATCACGTCCTAGGCACCCTGTGTTTCCCAGGGCCTACCGTTTGTTCACAGATCCCACTGCTGCTGTGGTCTAGCCCCGCCTCTCAGACTGTTCTCTTTCCTCCTGCTGCTCTCATTGGCCGTCCTCCCCCAGAGCTTGGGACGTGCTGGCAACCCCCTCCAATGTGTCC